AGAGTTTTTTGCTTAAATATAGAATTGAAATTGAAATATTATGAAATGTAATTAAAATTTGTGTGGATGTATTATCATGAATTTTTCATTGTAAATTCCAATATTATGGATATATTATCATGATTATTGGCGAATGAAAATCTCAAGGGAAATGAAAGGTAAAAGGAGTTAGGGTTGATACCTCAAGATTTCAATCTGGAAAGCCTCAAATTTTCAGGTGGATTAAGCCGGCAAGACCTGAGGTGAAGCTGAACTGGGCGATATTCAGGCAAAATGGGAAATCAGCGCCTGGATTCTAGCTTCGTGAGCACTCCAGAGCGATGGTTGCAGCGGATGGATTTCCTTTGAGTGGTTCGTCGGTGCGAGAGGAGGAGTTTAAACAGGCACTGCGGCGGTCTGAAATGCTTGGGTTTTCTAAGACGATGGCGACGGCGACAGAGATGACGGTCAACGAATCGAAGGAGGCAACAAAGACAACAGGGGAGCGAAGGCTGCGACAATCTGTTTCCCGATGGAGGAGACGACCTGCTTCGCTACTATGTTCAACGAGTTCGATAATGGTGAGCGAAAGAAGAAAGGTGCAGACAAGATCTATGGGCTGGGCATTTGATTCAAAAACCGATCGATCGAGGAGTTAAGGTTCATAGAAGAAGAAGGAAAGCTGAGCGGATGTGTGTTAAGTCTAAAACGGGAGAGGGAAAAAACGCGAAGTGTATTACTCCGTATAATAAACTCTAGCAGGCCGGCCCGTAAGTAATACTACCGTAAGTGACGCAGGCCTTTAAGTATACTCCGTAAAAAATGAAAGTGTCACTACATGATACTTATGCATTTTTGTTAGAAAAGGGTGACACTTTTATGGCAGTAATGTCATTTTATCAGAAAGTGTCACTATAAAAGTGTCACTGTAAGCTATTTTTCTACTAGTAAGTAGAGTTAACAACATAAAGATAACAACAACATAGACATACGCAATATAGATTACTACAACTTCAACTTCATGATACAATTACAACTTCATAATAATACTAACAGAGACTATAACAACGGAGGCAAGAACATCATTCAACATCTCAATCGTAAGAACATTAATTGTCAAATCCAGCCAACTAATCATAGCAAACAAGTAAGCTATCTTTTTCTCCTTCATTTTTTCTTTATCTGCCAATGAAGCTCCACCCTGTTGCGTACCATGATTCTTCAAACTTTGCAATTCACTCCATAGGTGTTGTCTTTCTTGTTCTACCAATTCATCTTTCATTTTGCCTCCTAAAAATTTTGGTCTCTTATTCTCCATTTGTAGTACTTTTCTTTCTAACTTCAACTCATTTATCAAATATTTAGCCCAAACCGGTAATGCTTCATCATGCCATTCAAAATATCCGCATCCATTGACCTGGAAATTTTGTATTCATTTTTCGATTCAGAAAACATGAAAAATAAATTACATATAGAAACAAAAAACCATAAATATCCCAGGAAGGAAAGATTCAAGCGAAAGAAAAGAAATCTTACTCTATAGTTTGGACAACTGTAGAAGTGACGTCCAGGGTTACTCTGAGTTTCTGATTTGAATCTGGGAGCTTTATGTCCACAAAAACATTGTTTGCGCTGTCCTTCTTGGTTAAGCTCGAAAGTCATTGGCTTTAGAGAGCTACTGGACGGAATCGAGAACGATGCAGACATATAAAATACAGAGAAGAAGATAGAAGCTTGAATCAAGTTGCTCCTTAAATTTGATGAAAAAGCCTAGATGTCGCTGACCATAGGAGTGCGATAGAGATGAAGGAAAGGATGGAATTTAAGTGGAGTAATTTTAGATCTGACGGAAAAGTTTTAAATCGTTAGGGAGGGTGGATTTGTACCCCAAATTCAGTTTTATCAGCTTTTTGTTCCAAATAAAAGAATAAGGATATATATGTTCCCTCACTAATAGTCTAGGGGTATATATGTTCCTTTTCCCTTTTAAAATATTAGAAGCACGGTAAAATGGTTGTTTTAATTCTATAATACTATCTCCCTGCAAATGCAGTTAGGTGGCACAGTGGCAGTGACCCTCTTCACACGCCAGCATGCCATGTGTTGACTGGTGATCATGTATTCAATATTATTATTGATAATGTCTGCTTGTGCTTTTATAAATTTCAAATGCCTTTAAATCGGATCTGATTTTAAATGTTTTTCACTTGTGAAGCATGTAATGTCAAGTAAATTATAAAGTTTGTGGAACTCATGGTGATCGAGTTGGATACGATTAACCAACTATTGTTACTCAACTGTCTTGATATGATAGATGGTCAAACTTTTATGTTCTCAGGATAACAAACAAAGAAGATTTGGCGTGCCCACACTAATAGCATATATATTGTTACCATGTTTAGTTTATATCCCTATAATCCCTCGTGTAAATATCCCCATAATATCTCTTGTATTTATGTAGTTTCCATTACTAGCACCAGCACTCTTGTATATATAGGGATACTTTGTAATGATTCGAGACATGGAATAATACATATTCCTTCATGGTATCAGACTTTTCTCAGTAATTCACCCGTTCCTTTTCCTGGGCTGTCTGCCATGGCTGGTGACACCACTCCTAAACAACCCAGACATCTTGCCCTCACCCTCAACACCATCAAATCCCTCATTCCAATTACTCTCAATCTTAAAGACGATGAGTATTCTTCTTGGGTTTTTCTGTTTCAACTACATCTTGAGGCTCATAATTTGATGTTTCTAATCAAAGGAACTCCCGCTCCTGCCAGCATCGATGCAGCTCTTCAGAAACAACTCGATGCTTTAGTCCATCAATGGATGTTTTCCACCATGACAAAAGACTTAATGCTCACGGTTCTGAAATCTAGCAGCACGGCTCAAGCTTTGTGGGAACGCCTTAGCACACTGTTTCAGGACAACAAAGGGACCCGAGCTGCGATTCTGGAGCGGCAATTTGTCAATCTCAAGTTCATGGACTGTAATGGTGTTGATGACTACTGTGACCGGCTTCAAACTCTGTCTGAACGCCTCAAAGATCTTGAATATCTGATGGATGACAAGCGGCTGGTCATACAACTCGTCAATGGTCTGCCCTCCGAATACGACACCGTGGCTTCCTTGATCTCTTAGACCATGCTGAGTTTTGACCGCGCGCACACAGCTGCGCACTGAGGAACAACGTCGGTCGCAATAGTCTTCTCCAACTGCTCTGGCGGTTACCGATTCTCAGGGCACTCGATTTCTGGACGCCTCTAGTCCGCCCGCCTCTGCGCCCTCTCGACAGCATCGCAATCCCAGAAATCCCGGTCGTCGGGGCCCTAATTTGCAGCAGGATCGCAGCAGCAATTAGCGAAGCTCCAGATCGCAAGGGTCCTTCAGCGGAAGAGCATCTGGAACCTTCAGCGGCAACTCTTCAACGGCAAAGCATCCGGGGCAAGCATCTGGATGTACTGCCCCTTTAATTTCTAATTATCAGCCTTGGCCTGTTGGGCCTGCATATTAGGCTATACCTCCTTGCCCATATCCCACAGCTCCAGCCCCTTCCTATTGGGCAGCTCCTTTCCACCGACCCTTAGGCCCACCTCCATCGGGATCTAATCTGCCAGCCCATAATAATAATAATAATAATAATAATAATAATAATAATAATAATAATACTAATAGTAATAATAATAATAATAATAATAATAATAATAATAATAATAATAATAATAATAATAATAATAATAATAATAATAATAATAATAATAATAATAATAATAATAATAATAATAATAATAATAATAATAATAATAATAATAATAATAATAACAATAATAATAATAATAATAATAATAATAATATTTTTCTCACCACGGAGACTTTGCAGCCGCAGGATATTGCCGAGGCGTATAGCTCAATGACGCTAAATCAACCACATGATGACTCTTTCTATATGGATACAGGCGCCACCACTCATCTTACTGCGGATCCAGGTACCTTATCTAATGTTTTTTAATAAGAGCACTGTACATTCTGTTTTGGTTGGAAATGGTAATTGCATTCCAGTTATTGCTAGTGGCAACAAAACTTTAGCTCTTCCCAACCGAAACCTATACCTAAAAAATGCCCTTGTTGCTCCTGCCATTATTAAAAACCTTGTATCTGTTCACAAATTCACCACTGACAATAATGTTTCTGTTGAATTTGATCCCTCTGGCTTTTCTATGAAGGACTTGACTTCGGGGACTCTAGTTATGAGATGCAATAGTTCCGGGGATCTCTACCCTCTTACCGTCAGTGATCCACCATTTGCGCCCGTCTCTCAACCTCTCTCTCTTGCCGTTGTGTCATCTAAGTTATGGAATCGTCGTCTCAGACATCCCGGCATGGCTGTCATAGATTCATTACGTAGTCAGTCTTTAATTACTTGTAATAAGGAGCATCCCTCCAAATTATGTCATTCGTGTCAAATTAGTAAGCATGTTCGTTTACCTTTCTTTCCGTCTTGCTCCAATACCATTGCTCCGTTTGATATTGTTCACAGTGACTTATGGACTTGCCCTATAATTTCTAACACGGGTTTTAGATATTATCTTATCTTGTTAGATGATTTTACTAACTATTTATGGGTACATCCTCTTAAAGTCAAGTCCCAAGTGTTTGGCAAATTTTTAGAGTTTAGCTCCTTTGTTCGCACCCAGTTTGAAAAAGAAATCAAATCCTTTCAATGTGATTTGGGGCGTGAATTTGATAACTCCTTATTTCACAATTTTGCCAAAGAACGTGGCCTTGTGTTTCGTTTCTCGTGTCCTCAAACATCCTCTCAAAACGGAAAAGCAGAACGTATGATACGTCGTATCAATGACATGACACGTACTCTTATGATTCATGCTTCCGTTCCCTCCACCTTTTGGGTTGACGCTCTTTACATGGATGTTTACCTACATAACATCCTACCCACCAAAATTCTATCCTTCCGCTCGCCTTATCTAGCTTTGTACCATCGTCAACCCACATATAATCACCTTCGTACCTTTGGTTGTCTATGTTATCCTAACCTCACCGCTACTACACCCCACAAAATGGCTCCCCGGTCAACTCGTTGTGTCTTTCTTGGCTTCCCCCCAATCATCGTGGATATCGATGTCTGGAGTTAGCTACTGGAAAAATCATTATCTCTCGCCATGTTACCTTTGATGAATCTGTGTTTCCTTTTACAGATCCATCACCACCAACCCCCACCTCTTACAATTTTTTATCCTCCACCACACTTCCCTTAGATAGCCTCGCCTATCCTACCACACCCCCATCTCACAACACCCCAACATCACCCTCATCTACCTCCCCACACAGTCCACCCAATCCTCCCACACCACCAACGCCTCCAAGCGACCCTCCCCCTCCACAACCTCCTACCCGACCCACCCATCCTATGGTCACTCGTGCTTCTCATGGGATCTTTAAACCCAAACCTGTCTTTGATCTCAATGTCCAAACCATTTCACCTCTCCCTCATTCTCACCTTTATGCCCTTAAAGACCCTAACTGGAATGCTGCCATGCAAGATGAGTACAATGCCTTATTAAAAACTCAGACTTGGGATCTTGTTTTGCGGCCCCCTAGTGCTCATGTTATCCGTTCCATATGGCTCTTCCGGCACAAATTTCACTCTGATGGGTCTCTTCAGCGGTACAAGGCCCGTTTGGTTGCTAACGGTAAATCTCAGCAGGTTGGTATTGATTACTTTGACACATTCAGCCCTGTAGTCAAACCTGCCACCATTCGCACTGTTCTTACCATTGCTACATCACGTTCTTGGCCTATTCATCAACTGGATGTCAAGAATGCCTTTCTCCATGGTGACCTATGTGAGACAGTTTATATGCATCAACCCCCTGGTTTTGTTGATTCCACAAAACCAAATTATGTATGCCGCCTGCACAAATCTCTTTATGGTCTCAAACAAGCTCCAAGGGCATGGTTTCAGCGTTTTGCTACATTCATTACTAGTTGTGGGTTCCAAGGCAGTATGTGTGACACTTCTTTGTTTGTCTATCACTCTGGGTCTGACATGGCATATCTATTGTTATATGTGGATGATATTCTTCTCACGGCTTCTTCAGATGCGTTACTCCATCGCTTTATTGCCCTCATGCACCAAGAATTCTCCATGACTAATCTAGGAGAACTACACCACTTCCTGGGACTCACTGCGACTAAATCCTCCTCAGGCTTATTTTTGTCTCAATCACTGTATGCTCAAGAAATTCTGGCTCGTGCTACCATGACCAAATGTAACCCCGTGGCCACACCTGTTGATACATCCTCTAAGCTCAGTGCTCTTACAGGGTCCCATGTTGCTGATCCAGCTTTATATCGAAGCTTAGCAGGTGCACTACAATATCTTACATTCACTCGCCCGGACATCTCTTATGCAGTTCAACAAGTCTGCCTTTTTATGCATGATCCTCGTGAACCTCATTTTCAAGCTCTAAAGCGTATTCTACGCTATCTACAGGGTACACTTGATCATGGCTTATTCATATCTGCATCACCTATCACTGGTCTTACTGCCTATTCTGATGCTGATTGGGCTGGATGCCCTGACTCTCGTCGCTCTACATCTGGTTTTTGTGTGTTTCTTGGGGACAATCTAATCTCTTGGTCTTCTAAACGACAACCTATTGTTTCCCGGTCTAGTGCCGAGGCTAAATATCGTGGAGTTGCCAATGTTGTTGCTGAATCATGTTGGTTACGCAACTTACTTCTTGAACTTCATCTTCCCCTGCGCCGAGCCACCGTAGTCTATTGTGATAATGTCAGTGTTGTTTACCTCTCTGGTAATCCCATCCAACATCAACGCACCAAACATATTGAGATCGACATTCACTTTGTGCGTGAACGTGTCCGTATTGGAGATATTCGAGTCGTACACATCCCTGCTGACTGACAATATGCTGACATTTTCACTAAGGGTTTACCACGCTCCACTTTCCTTCGTTTTCGAGATAGTCTTAGCATTCGCCCTCCTCCCGCTTCAACTACGGGGGAATAATAGCATATATATTGTTACCATGTTTAGTTTATATCCCTATAATCCCTCGTGTAAATATCCCCATAATATCTCTTGTATTTATTAGGCATGGCAATGGGTTGGGGCGGGGCGGGTACTGCAAGACCCGGACCCGCCCCATGACTTGGCGGGGCGGGTCCGCCCCGCCCCGTGACTTGCACGGGTCCAAACTTGTTGACCCGTGATCCGCCCCATGCAGGGCGGGGTGGGTCCGCCCCGCCGTAACCTAATTAGCTAATATGTATTTCTATTTGTGGGAAGTTGTTACCAATTGAATCTACATAAAGTTTATCTCTGAATAATAATTAAAAATTACGGAGTAATATATTAAATCAAATTCATGATACGCTAAAAATTTCAAAAACTGAGGCAAAATTACTCAGACTTGAATAGTTAATCTATTTAATTATATTAATAATTGAATATATGTATTAAAATGCTATATATAACGCATACATTGATAATCCGTCGTTCATCTCATTCTAATATATATATATATATATATATATATATATATATATATTATAAGATCAAAGAATTTAATATTTATTGTACACACATATGAATGTTGAAGTATATTTGTAGTATAATTTAAGAAAAAGTATGTATACTTTTATATTGACCGGGGCGGGTCGGGGCAGCACGGGTCAATACTAAGATCCGGACCCGCCCTATTGTATGGGCGGGGCGGACCCGCCCCATTTGCAAGACGGGGCGGGCCGGACCCGCCCCAAATGTCTCGGGCCAGGGCGGGTCATTGCGGGTCGGTTTTTTTTGACATCCCTAGTATTTATGTAGTTTCCATTACTAGCACCAGCAGTCGTGTATATATAGGGATACTTTGTAATGATTCGAGACATGGAATAATACACATTCCTTCACACACCTAAAAGGTATTCTCATCTATTATTGCATCTTTAATTACTCTTACGTTTTAAACAATACTATCGTTTTTTGATATTGGACTTTCAAAAAATTGTTTTAAGTGGTACCCAAAGGCTTTACGAATCACTCTGTATAATCATGGGTTAATTGAAATCTTCTGTCCAACTATTTTTCTCTAAATTTAATTTTAAATTTGTTATGGCTTGAAAATGCCAATCATCTTTGCTCTTATAGGAGAAGGTAGATCTAAAGGTACTCCGGCTATTGGTGATGCCAATAATGTGCCGATGTTTGCTCTAGCTCTTATGGGGTGTTTGGTTAGCAGCCTATATCACCCATTTTTTGGCTGATTTGACTAACATTTGACCTTTTGACCAGATTAATCACCTAACAAGGTGTTTGGTTAAAAGCCACAAATCCTAGCGTTTTAAGGGTGGCCGTTTCTCATCTTTCCTTATTTCCCTTTATTACCCACTGCCCACGTCTCCTTTTTCGTAGCTGCTCCGTCCCACACCCGAATTCCAATGAGAAACGGAAAGCTGCAAAAGCAAATTTTATCCTAATTAACTTGCCGGTCAAAGAAAAAAAACAACAATTAAGAGAGCAAGCGTCCATGAAACATACGGAGTATTTTTCTTTTAGCTTTTTCATGAATTTTGCTTCGTCTTGTGGCACGGCAAGGCCATTGAAGAAAATGTTAAAATAATAATAATAATAATATATTAATAATAACAATAATCGATGTAAAGTAAATTTTACATTTTTGAACCATAAAACAATTTAGGCAATTATATATGAAGTATTAATTACATTAACTAAAAATTAATTGATGTCCTTAACAGTCATTTAACAAGTTATCAGTTGATTGTAAACAGTCGTTTAACCAAACATGATTTTACGAACTGCTAATACTATCAGCTAATCAAAATAGCCAACAGAATCCGCTGTTATCAACCAGCCAACATAATTAGCCAACAGCCAACAGCTAAAGGTCAATTGCCAAACACCCCCTATATATCGGATAATCGGACAACATTTTCATCCAAGACTTCCAACATTTACATGCAAAATGAATAACATTATTCAATTAACATTTGTTGTGATTAACTTACTGTTTGTTGTGACGAACTATTACTTAATTTTATAAAACTAATAAAAAATTACATGGCATGTTTTAAGTTTACTACACATAAAGAAGCAATGTAATTAAATTTAGACAATTGAATATAATTTCAATTGAAGATTGGCACACAACAATTTATATAATTTTAAGCATGTTTTAAATTTACTACCCACTTTTACTTTTCAAAATCACTTTTTTCTCAAATACTATCAACTTTAATTTAATCACTTCTCCACATTTCATTAAAAAAAGCACTTTTTTAAAAGCAGAAACTGTTGCAAACAGACCCTAAATTAAAACAAACGGAGTCGTGTATGTATATATATAGCATAGATCGGAAAAAAACCGATGGAAAGGATGAGATGCAACAGATGGAGCAACAAAATTAATTAAAAGCATATGCATAAAGAAAACCACAACAAAAGAAGCTAAGCAGAAGTACGTAGGAAGCTCGATCTCATCAAGGCGGGCGGCGGCGGCGGCGGACCATATTAAGTACTAATTGTGGTTGGGCGGGTTGATCAAGGCCGGGCAAAAGACAATGGTGTAGTTGGTTCCAATTGGGCAAGTATGTATCTTATAACGATTTTTGGGGTGGGAAGCATGAGGGCAGTTATTATGGTCCAGGGCGCCGCAGCGGAGGGGATAACATGCTTTGGCAATTGTAGGAATGATATCCATGCCCACATTGAAGGCGTCCACCACCGAGAGATCGTAGTAGTCCACACCCTCCTTTTCGTTCTGAGAAAAACTCGCCAGCGTCGCACTGGCATGGCTGCCCCTGAGCTCTGGCAAGCCAACACATTCCCACAGTCGCCGGTCTCACAATGCCCCTTCCCTGAACCGTCGAACTGGCAGTTGGTCCGGGGCCATATGCGCCCACCGCTGGTCGTCCCCGCCGCCGCGTTCAGCGACACCGTGCCGGTTGTTTTCAGCTCCATCCCACCGCCGCCGGAAACCTTAAACCACGCTGCCCACACCGGGTAAGAGCAGTTGTTTGTGATAGTGAAGGTGGTCGCCTGAGTGAACAAAGGGGAGCCGCATAAACAAAGGAGCGAAACCACAAGGGGAACCATTCGGATATTTGCGCTCACGCCCCCCATTTTTTTTATACGACCCAACTCACCCAAGTGATGTGTTTATGCTAGCTAGCTAGCTTTAAGATCGAATGTATATGGGAAGATGAAAAACCCAATGCATATAAATAGGGGTTAATTGGCCGGGTTACTTGGGAGATAGATATATATATAATACACCATTTGACTTTGCACGTTAAATTTTACACCAAATTTCCAAAATCATTTTTATGTGCACCCATTAGTCCAATAATTGTCACATATCCGAGTAAAGTACAAATTCTAATGATTTTATAGACAATTATGATACATATATTAATAATTTTGAAAATATAGTGTAAAGTCAAATATCACCAAAAAAAATGGGATGTAAATTCAAATTCTTTCTATATACTTTTATAATATAATACTCTTTAATAGCTTTTTTGTAATACTAACTTAATATATGTATATGTATATGTATATGTATATGTATATATATATATATATACATATATACTACATATATATCTATATGACTATACCTATTAAATATAATACTTCATCTGTCCCATTTTTGTTGTTGTACTTTTCTTTATGGATTGTCCTGAAATGGATGTCTTGTTTCTTTTTATGACAAAAAATATGAGATAATTGACCCATTAACCCTTGGCGCGGACAAGCGCGTTCAATCCATATTGCTTACCCTACCAACTTTTTTAATGTAGCAAAGTGAGCAACCAAATTATCAGTACCGGTCAATCTAGGTTACATACGTTATTTATTTATTTATTTATTATATTTGCTAATTCAAACTAGTGTTTTGCCCGGTACGTTGGTGCGGCGCCCCAGATGAATTTGAGATAGGTTTCAAATAAAGTCTCGTTTGTGAATAAAAATGTTAGACCTTAGTACCTTACTTCATTAATGAATAATGATTCATTCTTTTAGTCCGAATTGCGTTTTGTTTTTGAAATATGAAAAAAGACACTACATTATTATATTCCAATAATGATATGTTGACCAACTCGTTGTGAATGGTAATGATAATAATTTACACACACATATATATATTGAATATAAACATAATAACTTTGATTCTTTGAACCATTATTTTAACTAATATATTTATTTGAAAGTTAATAAATTTATACGATACTATTTTTAATAAAGAACATTTTCATATAATCAATTTTACCGTGTGTAAATATATAATCAGTCAAAGTTGAACAATAAAATAGTGTTTGACTAAATAAAAAGGGCGGAGGAAGTACTATTTGGGCACTCTCTTCGTATTAACCATTATCTACACTTACAAGAGATAACATTTAAAACTTTTTATCCTTTATAACTTTGTTATCTTTTCTTTTTTTGGATATCTCAGAACTTTCTTTACTTTCCTTTTTAACCTATGAATTATTTGAAGTTCAAGTTATTTCTCTCTCTTTTGCATAAATCACAAGTACACAATTTTTATTTTATTATTTCTCGTATCAGTCGAACTTAGTCATGTTTTGAACAACGAATGAAATAATGTGTTATATGCGCAGAGTGAAAAAGGTGTTTAAAACCGAAAAAATGGTTGTTCTAGGGCACACCTATGAGTCTATGACCTACAAAGTTTTAAGTCCTATTGTCTCACTCATCAATAGGAAATCCAACATATGCAATTTTTATATGAGTAGTGATTGGTGTATGCCCTGGATTAAATTCTATTTACTTACCTTTCACATAGATAAAAATGTACAAATACATACTGACATTTTTCAACAAGAGTTGTCTATAAACATGTCTGCGCATAGACAAAAATATATGTATTTTCATATCATATCATTGATAGCTACTACGTACTATATATTTTGGGACGGAGAGAGAATTATGTAAAAAGTTAATACATTCGAAGAACCTTTTTGGGACGGAGAGAGAATTAAGTTGCCTAATAGTACAAAAAGTTCGTTTAAAAAAAAAAGTAAAAAAAATTACATATTACACAGTACTCGTATTTACTAAATACATACGTAGTAGTATTATTTAGGGATTTTGTTGTAAATGTTGTTCCTCTAATCACTTGGTGTAAAACTAGTCGCGAAACAAGCAAAATTTTATGCATTATTTGCTCCATACATTGATTTTCATGCAATTTAATTTTATTTTTTGTGCAAATAATACATTCGAAGAACCTTTTTGGGACGGAGAGA